CCACCCAAACGCTGTGACACCACCACCCGTCCAGACAGCCCGTGCCATAACACCACTGCTCTATCTGGAGAAGAAACTTTCCCTAATTCCCACCCAGAACCTCCCCTGGTGCAACTCGAAGCCATCACCTCCAGTCCTATCGCTGTTACCTGGGAGCAGAGGCCGACCCCCACCTCACCACAGCCTCCATTCGGGGAGCTGTGCTTTAAGATCTCCCCTGAGCCTCCTCTGCTCCAGACTGACCCATCCCAGCTCCCTCAGCTGCTCCCCGTCACACTTGTGCTCCAGAGCCCTCACAGCTCCGCTGCCCATCCTCGGGACACTCTCTAGTGCCTCCACGTCCGTGCAGCAGCGAGGCGCCCAGCACGGCACAAGGCACCGCTCCCGTCCCGCTCCCACACAGCTCCTCACACCACGCAGGACGCCGCTGCCCTTCCCGCGTAAAGCCCCTCTCCCCGCGCCTTACCGTCGACGTCGACCCGCGCCGGGGGCTGCTCCGCCACCCAGATGTCCCCGTAGGGATCCTCGTTGTTCCAGAGCGGCAGGTAGTGCCTCCTCTCCCCGCGCAGGGGCGGCGAGACGCGGCCACGGCTCCGGGGCGCGGCAGGGGCCGGGGGCGAGGCCGGGGGCGAGGCGGGCTGCAGCGCCTCGACGCAGAGCAGGCCGCGCCGCAGCCGCCGCTCGTCGTACAGGTAGGAGCAGCGCGTCAGGCGCACGCGCGCCCCGGCGTGCAGGTGCGCGCGCTGCACCAGACGGCTGAGGCGCGGCGCCAGGTAGCAGCGCTCCTGCCCCGCGCCGTCCGCCAGCGTCACGTCGTACCAATAGCGCGGGGCGGCGGGCGGCGCCTCGGCCAGGTACCGCTCCACCGCCGCCACCGTCAGCACGGGCGGCTCGGAGGGGGCCGCTCTCAGCCGCCAGCCGCTCCGCGCCTCCTCCGACAGCCGCCGCAGCCACGAGGCCTCCTCGCCGGGCGGGCCCCCGCCCGCCGCGACTCCTCCCGGGCTCTCCTCGGCGGGGCGCTCCGGGTCGGGCTCCTGCATGGCGGCCCCTTCGCCCGGGGCCGCGGCGGCGC